GATAAAAGGAAACACATCTTCATCTCCACCGTGTCGAGCGAGATGGTGGTTTCCACTGCTGGGGAAGGCGGTGTTTGACGTATTCGCCACACCAAGGACCCCGACCTCTTCACTTCTGTTACTGATCGATTACCACCACCAAGACCACCTTTGTTCAATGCTTGATCGCTCGATTCTTCCCTCTCCCGATCTATGAAGAAGACGATGAAGGGCAACCCCACAAAGGGTCGCTGGTGTCGACCGGAGTGCCGCTGCGCTGGAGGATTTTGAGCTCAACGTGACCGAGAGAGCTGTACTGCGTTTAAATCTTGTTTCCATCGATTTCTCAATTTAGGGTTTTCAGAATCGGTTTTTAGATAAAGAGGGGAACGAGATTCAATAAAAGTCAATATCATGATTATAGGGATTATTTTTGGAAGTTATTAAACAAATTACTAAATTACCCTTATTTATTTAATTAATTATTTAATTTTTTATTTAATTTTGATTGGCCCACATTTATGCATACAATAACACAATAATTATTTTAAATACCTGAACCTAGCTCTCTCTCTCTCTCTCTCTCTCTCTATATATATATATATATATATATATATATATATATATATATATATATATATATATGATACTGCTGTGCGTTAACATTTTAGTTATGTATTTTCATGTTGACCTAATCAATTGAGTTGTTCAATTTGTTTGGGAAACAAGTTTTCTTAACAAACTAAGTTAAATCCAACTATTAAAGTCGAATAAAAAAGAATCAAAAGATTTTTAGCGGTTTTATCGTCGTCATTCAACCCAACTTTTAAAAAATCATATGGCTTTATCCAGCCCAATTTTTAAAGAAATCAACTGGTTTTATCCGGTATAAAAATTTGCATAAACCAACTATGTTGAACCGTTTCTTGTCTCCAACCATGTGGAATCCATTTTTGAAACATGGTATTAAAGTAGAAAATGCCAGGAAAAAGTCTGATTAACGTAAGTTTAAAGAGTTTATTCGGCAAATGATGAAAATTTAGGGTTACTTTGAAACAAATGATCACGAAAATGAGGAATTCGGACAATGACCAAGGTTCCGCAGAGGGGGTTCTACGGAACCGTAAACGCCTCTGAGGAACCATGAATACCTCTGCGGATCTTGGTTTTTTTTAAAAAAAAATTCGTTTTTTTGTTTTTTTTTATTATTTTTGTTTTTGTTTTTTAATATTATTTTTTTTAATCACATAAGGTATTATGTGATTATTATGTAAAAAAAATTTGTTTTCGTTTTTCGTTTTTTATTATTTAATTACCCGTTTAAAAAAGTTGTGTGTTTAATAAAAATTTACAAATATTCCATGTTTTTTATAAAATTACACACTCCGGTATTCTAAATAATAAACATACTTTAAGTAGGTTACAAAACATACTTTAGAAAACATAAACATACAGCCTTCATAATAAATAACATACTTTGAAATAAACTTCATTCATTCAAATCGAACCACATAAACTTTGATCTATTACAAACTTCATAATAAACAAACTTTAAAATAAACTTCATTCATTCAAATCGAACCATGGAAAGTTTGATCTGCAAAAGTCCAGGTAAGGAGTTTTTGACACATCACTTAGCCACGAAGAACTGTTTTCTGCAGATTAGTGTACACCTCTGCAGATCATTTATAGAACTGTTTTCTGCGGATCAGTGTACACCTCTGCATAACTGTTAAGGAATATGCAGAACTGTTTTCTGCGGATCAGTGTAAACCTCTGCGGATCAGTGTACACCTCTGAATAACTGTTAGGGAATACGCAGAACTGTTTTCTGCGGATCAGTGTAGACCTCTACAGATCAGTTATAGAAGTTATAGATGTATTTAAGTGGTTTTATGTGAGTTTGTGAGTTTCAATTACCAGTAGAAGTTGTTTTTTCGTTGTGTTTATGGAGAGTGATTTGTAAAATGAGTTTTATTATTTTGTATAGGGGACGGTCATGGCAGTTAGTTAATGGAGATGAGGTTTACGTTAGAAATAATGTGAAAAACTATGGTTTAAATCTTCCTCCTAACATTAACCATGAAATGTTATTACAAATGGTTAGAAGTAAGGCAGGTGTGTTAAATAGTCATATATGTTTGTCTTTACCCGGAGTTAGGGTATGTCATGGAGCTTGGAGATAAAACTGATGTATTTCAATTGAGACATGTAATGTTTGAATCGAAGAAGACGGTGCATTTGTATTTAAGGGTGGTAGGTGAAGAAGCTGAAGAACAAGTAGTGGTTAACAACCAGTTTAATCCCACAAAAACTAATAGAGGTCGTAGAGAAAGCCAATGTGATGGAAACCGTTCAAGGGGAAGAGGAAATGAAGTGCCAGTGGGTTATGAAAAAAAAACGTTTTGGTTACTGATAAATTTGTATCTGATAATGATACTTTTGTATCAGATAATGATAAAGAAGCAAAAGTGGGCATGATTAAATTACAACGTCAAAATTTGTTCGAGTTTGGAGAAGTTCATGAAATTGATGATCGAAGATGTGAGGAAATATCAAATGAAGGTTGGTCGGATGATGAGTACATGCAACTAAAAATTGCTTTTAATCCATTGTATTGTATTCCTTATATTCCTGATTGTCCAGAACCTATTCTTGAACCTGGACCATTTAACAATTTAGGTACGAATGATAAATTAATTGTCAATCAAACCTATAACACCAAAAAAGAGCTAGCATTTACTGTTCTATTCAAAGCCGTTAGAGAAAAGTTTTAGATAAAGGTTGAAGAATCTTCAAAATCTCGGTACCAGGTTGTTTGTATGCAAGAAAACTGTCATTGGCGTTTATACGCATCTCTCATTAAAGGAACATAAATGTTTGAAATTAAGACGTTTAATGACGAGCATACATGTTCTTCATTGCTTATACACCCAAATCATAGGCAAGCAAATAGCGAAGTTGTGGGAACCATAATACATGACATTATGGGTCAAGGAAGTTTGAGAGTTTAGAAGTCTAATGATATAATTAGAGATATGAATGCTTTGCTACAAATAAATATGAGTTATTCACAAGCGTGACATGCTAGAAAATTTGCTCTAGGATTGATATATTAATGGATGTGTGGTAATATATTTTTAAATATATTTGTTATTTTCTTAAATGTTTATAAACAAATTATATTGTTGATATATTAATGGTTTTTATATTGTTGTTGCAGATACATGCTTTCAGAGAGTGTTGTAGAAAAGTTATTATTATGGATGGTGCTCATTTGAAGGGAAAGTACAAAGGCACCATCTTGCATGCAGTAGCCATGGATGGCAACAATCAGATCTTGCCTATTGGTTATGGAATTTGCCCAAAAGAGACTACGGATTCTTGGACATGGTTTCTTGAAAAACTACATGAATGCATTGGTGATTTGGAAGGTCTGAAAATGGTCACATATAGAGCACTCGCAATTGCTGTAAATATTCAAAATGTTTTTCCAAATGCTTAACATGGATTGTGTGGTTTTCATCTAATAGGAAACATAGTCCACACCTTTGGAAAAAACAAAAAAACAGTAATTTTGTTTTGGAAGCTGGTAAGAGCTTACAAAACCACTGAGTTTGGATTCTATTGGGGGAGACTGCGTAATATAAGAGATGATGTAGCGACATATCTGAATCAAATTCCACGTGAGAAATGGACCAGAGCGTATTGCCATACCACGAGGTATGATTATATGACCTCAAATAGTGCGGAGTCCATGAACGCTATATCAAATAAAGCAATGAAGTTGCCTATATTATCACTTCTTGAGTTCTTTCGCACACTTATGCATAAATGGTTTTACAAACGGCGGATGGATGCAGGTATGATTATGTTTAATTTTTAAATTATATGATAGATGTCATATATAATAATATATGTTTGTTTTAACAGAAAAAAGTACATCAGTACTTACGAAGTGGGTTGAACATATGGTTATAAAAAATAAAGAGGGGATTCAAGCATGACCGGTATCCGCTGTTGACAATACAACATATCAAGTGCATGACTGCAAAAGTGGCGGCATAGTGAATTTGAGGGAAAAGACTTGTTCTTGCAAATATTGGCAACTAACTGGTTTGCCATGTGGTCATTTGATAATGGTTTTAACGCACTTAAAAAATGATCACTTTGGGCATATGACTATAGATGCTTATAAAATTGAAACATATCGAAGAACGTACGAGCAGGCCGTATACCCTCTTTCAGAACTTAGTGATTGGGAGGTTCTGATGACCTTATGGTTGTTAACCCTCCTGTGATGGAAATACGTCAAGCCGGTAGACCAGAAAACACCAATCGTATTCCCTCTCAAGGTGAGGAACCAAAAATAAGAAGGTGTAGTAGATGCCATAGCACAACTCATAATGCAAGGACGTGTAAGGAAATCGTTCCAAAGAACCAAAGTAAAAGTAAAAAACGTACTGGGGTGTCAGGAAGTGGGACAAAAGTAACAGAAGAAGAACCGATGCAAGCGACCGAAAACCAATGGCAGCATGAACTAGAGAACCAATGGACGCAACATATCGAACAACAATGGCAGCAGCAGCCAGACCACCCATTTGACACAACAGACCGAACATCATTGGCAGCAACAACCAGATAACCAATGGACATAACAGACCGAACATCAATGGCAGCAGCAACCAGACAACCAATGGGCATAACAGACTGAACATAAATGGCAGCAGGAGCCACAAAACCAATGGACGCAAGGGACCGAATACCAACCGCAGGAAAAGCCACAGAACCAATGACAGGGTTGCACCGAGTACCAATGGCAGCAAGAGCCAGATAACCAATGGACGCAAGCGACAATAAACCTAGGGACACAAGTAACAGAAAACTCATGGCCGGAATACGAAAACAGATCAAAGTTTCCGTGGTTCGATTTGCATGAATGAAGTTTATTTCAAAATATGTTTATTATGAAGATTGTATGTTTAGGTTTTCTAAAATATGTTTTGTAACCTACTTAAAGTATGTTTATTATTCAGAATATCAGTATGTATAATTTTATAAAAAACATGGAATATTTGTATAATTTTTATTAAATACATGATTAAAAAAATAATATTAATAAACGAAAAAAATTTAAAAAAAAACGAAAAAACGAAAAAAAAAATTAAAATAACCAAGATCCGTAGAGGTGTTCATGGTTTCTCAGAGGAATTTATGGTTCTACGGAACCTGTGGTCATTTTCCGAATCCTCATTTCCCTTGTCATATTTTTCAAAATAACCCTGCCGAATAAACTCACGTTTAAAAGGTTGTAGAAGCTCTTTTGCGGACACATATGTTTATGAACGACCACTTGACATTTCTTAATATTCTGAAAAATTCAATAAACCCCCTCGCTGTCAGCCCGATCTTTCTACAAGTCCACCGCAGAGGCTTTACCTAAGCATTTGGACTTGGCAGAATTCCAGAAGGTTTTTCCATCTCATAAGCCGTCCTCAATCTCCGTCCTCACGAGGTAGGATCTCTTTTTCTTTTAGTTTACCAGATCTGATTTCATCATTATTAATCAAAGTATGTTTACTCTTTACTTAGTTGTGTTTGGTTTACTTTTTGATCTAATTTATACTATCTCAGCCTTTTCCAACATATCAGTGTATATTTATCAGCAACGATAAGATGAGCGTGGTCGGATTTGATATCGGGAACGAGAGTTGTGTTGTGGCAGTTTCCAGACAAAGGGGAATCGGTGTTGTTGTTAATGATGAGTCAAAGCGTGAGACTCCTGCACTTGTATGTTTTGGTGAAAAACAGCGTTTCCTTGGTACAGCTAGCTGGCGCTGCAACCAGCATGATGAACCCGAAGAACACTGTCTCCCAGATTAAGCGGTTATCAAGGCTTTTCCCTTTTCTGATCCTGAATTGCAGCAGGATATCAAGGTTTTTCCCTTTTCTGTCAAAGAAGGACCTGATGGTTTTCCATTCATACATGTACGTTATCTTGGGGAGCAAAAGTCGTTTACACAAACACAGGTTATGGGAATGGCGCTTTCAAACATGAAAAAATTAGCAGAGAAGAATTTGAATGCAGAAGTTGTGGATTGTTGCATTGGGATACCTATTTACTTCATTGATCTTCAAAGAAGAGCTGTGATCGATGCATCTACTATAGCCGGTTTGCACCCTCTTCGTTTGATGCATGAAACAACAGCAACTGCTTTGGCTTATGGAATATCCAAAACCGACTTACCTGAAAATGAGCAGCTCAATGTAGCCTTTGTTGACATTGGACATACCAGCATGCAAGTAAGCATAGCAGGGTTCAAGAAAGGTCAAATGAAGATATTGGCTCATTCCTTTGACCGAAGCCTCGGAGGGAGGGATTTTGATGAGGTTTTGTTCCATCACTTTGCTGAAAAGTTCAAGATTGAATACAAAATTGATGTTTTCCAGAATGCAAGAGCTTGCCTCAGGCTTCGTGCTGCTTGTGAGAAGCTAAAAAAGATGCTTAGTACAAATCCAGAGGCCCCTATAAACATGCAGCGCTTGATGGATGACAAGGATGTTGGAGGGTTTATAAAAAGAGATGAATTTGAACAAATTAGTGCCCTGATATTGGAACGTGTAAAGAAGCCTTTTGAGAATGCTCTTTTAGAGGCTCAACTCAGGGCTGATAATATTTATGCTGTGGAAGTGGTTGGTTCGGGTTCTAGGGTGCCAGCTGTCATCAAGATTTTGACAGAATTCTTCGGGAAAAAGCTGACATGTACAATGAATATAAGTGAGAGTGTCGCTAAAGGTTGTGCTTTGCAATGCGCTATTCTTAGTCCTACGTATAGAGCTAGAGACTTCATGCTATATGCTGTATGACTAACTTTTTTTTTTTCCAATTTGTATTGTGTCTGTATGAAACCGTAATTTGGATTTTGCTTATTCATTTTGAAGCTGCAAGAGTTGTTCCTGTTTTCAATTGCCATGACATGGCACTTTTCTTACCAAGATTCCATGTATGGAAATGTGGAGGAGCAAAAAAGCACTATTGCTTTCCCTAAGGGAAATCCAATTCCATGTGTGAAAGGTATGACTTTTTACAGGGCTGGCACTTTCACATTAGGTATGCAATATGCTGATGATAGCAAATTGCAGGCACCAGCAAAGATCAGTATTTACAAGGTACATGCTTGTCTCAGATTTAAATAGTTGTAAAATTATGTTTTACATTGACAATGTTGTCCAGATTGGTCCCTTCAAAACAAAAAATGATGACCTGGCCAAGGTGAAGCTAAAAGTCCATTTGAGTTTGCATGGAATTGTCTCTATGCTATCTGTACAGGTGGGTTAATTATGGGGCTCCTTTGTTTGTTCTTGGTGTGCAAATCTTAATAAGATGTTTTTTATTTCTTTCTGTGACAGCAGCTTATTGAAGAGGTGCAAGCTGATTCTAAGGTTATACAACTAATATTCAATTAAGAAACAGAGTTATTAGAATATGTAATGAGTTTTTGTTATTTTGTTATACAAGGCTCCAGCGAGGAATGTCAGAAAGTCAAACTTACTTGTTTCTGAGGTGATTTACGGAGGAATGCTACCTGCAGATGTGCAAAAAGCGGCGGAAAAGGAGTTGAAAATGTCGTTACAGGACCGAATCATAGAAGAAATCAAGGACAACAAGAATGCTGTGGAATCCTATGTCTATGAAATGAGGAAAAAGGTAATTAAAAAATATAAGTTCTTCTTAATACTATAGGCGTGTTCTGCAAAACTTGCTGGTTGCTGGTAGCTGGTAGCTGGTAGCCGGTAGATGGTAACGGGTAATGGGTAGCGGGTAGTGTTTGATTTTGGAACGTTTTGTTTAGGCTAAAATCTAAACGCTTCTGTCACCGAACGAAGTTTTTTTTTTTTTTTAATTTTTTTAATTTTATGAGTGTTTTCTTAAAAGCTATAAGCCAGAAACTCCGAAAAACATGCCCTATATCGCTAAATCACAACAACTCTTGTCTTGCAGTTATATGACCAATTGCAAGAATTTGTTACGGATTCAGATAGATAAAACACGTATTTATAATTCTAAAAATATTATTTATCTTTTTAAATGGTATAACCTTGCAAAAACACATACACACACACAAACAAACATATATATATATATATATATATATATATATAATATTTTTAGAATTATATATATTTATACTTCTATAAACTATATCTATAAAACACGTATTTATAATTGTAAAAATATTATTTATCTTTTTAAATGGTATAACCTTGCAAAAACACACACACACACACAAACAAATATATATATATATATATATATATATATATTATATATATATATATATATCATTAAACATTTTTTCGTATATAAATACGATTTTTCCGCATGAATACGTATATTATGAAAAAAAAATACTTAGGGTAAAAGTGTAAAAAAAATTATAAACTAAAGGGTAAATATGCAAAAAAAAAAAAAAAGGGTAAACTTAAGGGTTTTTTTGCGAATTTAATATAATGGTAACCAAAACTTGAGGGTTTTTATGACATTAACCCTTTACAATTTTATAACTTTTTTTCCTTATGCTTCCAATATTTAGCACGTACAAATAAATGCAGCAAGGTGATCCTATTCAACAACGTTGCAAGGAGCACACAGAAAGAGCATCTTTTATAGACCATCTGGTTGGTATTATTAATGCTTATGTTGCAGCAGCAACATCCGGTAATCCAAAGTATGAACACATCGGCTTGAGTGATAAACAAAAGGTTATAATCGTAAAATCCCTATTTGTCTATTACATGTTCATCAATCGATAGGTATATTTGACATTTTTTTACTAAAATAAAAAAATGTTTGTTTTATAATGTTAAGGTAATGTTGATGTGAGTCTGCAGGGTATGTAGGCAGATAATGTTGAAATCACCTTCTGTCATCTGTCATCTAAGAGCATATTTAATAGGGGAGATTTGTCATAAAGCTTTTTGGTGCCACTTCAACAGGCTTTATAAACACATAGGTTTTTTATGGTCGCACATATCAACCATATAAGGATTTATTCTCTCCGTCCCAAAATTATTGTCCAAAAACAAAATTCACATAGATTAAGAAAAACAATAATTACCACTAACTTTATCTATAAAATGACTATTTTACCCTTTCTTGCATTTAATGTACTCATTAAATATTTTAATTTGTTAGTAATAACTAGATTATGACCCGCGTAAAACGCGGGGAACATATAAAAATGTACATATAAAGGTATAAAAAAAATAAAGTAACAGAAACAAACTTAGCATTATTGGTAACATTGAAATGTCTAAAAAAAACAATGAAACACCTAAATATCTATAATCGTTGAAGAATCTCTTTGTAAACATAACTTTTTGTTTTATTAGTTGGATGATCTTCCTCGTTATATATGAGTAACCTCATTCATTTTTCACTTGTGACGCGAGAAACAAAAAACATATAACTGGCAATGAGTGAAGACGAGCATACGCAAGTATAATCCAACATTTGATAATTATTGTCATTGACTTTTGTTAATGGCGATAACAAAATAAACAACTATGGGGAATTGCCTCCGCTAAAAGTGGAATGATATTCTTTTATTAGACGGAGTTAACTTCCTGCAAGGTATATACGTAGTCTCATTGAAGAATGTAGCATATATAATTCAGGCTTCAATGACGTGTCTTAAAATCCTAACAATATGTAATCTAGTACCATTGCATAGTCCTTTGGTTTGCTCGATATTACGAAGTAGCATGACTGGAACACCTATTTTTAGTGAAAGTTTATGGTTGGAAATTCTAGATGCCTTAAAACCATTCAACACAACTGAAGAGTAGATTGATTCCTCAAAAAAATCTGGTAACTCTATCTCAGATAAAGAATTTGAACTCATATATTTTTTCCCTTCATCTTTCATCAATCCTAAAATGTAGTCATTGGTAGCATCGAATTCTTCATTTGTAGGTACCAAAATAGCTTTATCCTGAAAATATGATGGATCATTAAGATGGTTTTCAAATGATGGATAAATGGTGGATACAATTGAATGAATATGGTCACTGTAGAGCGAACAACAACATCTTCTGGAAATTCAACTTTCAGTTTCACCATCATTAGGGCCACCAAATATTACATTCACTAATTTTAAGAATCCACTCATCAAATGCTTTTGTCTCATCCAAATCATTAGTTAGACAACCAAACTAAAGCCTCATGTTTACGGTTAAACGTAAAACTTTACATTCACGCCATAATTCAATATGGGAAGCTAAACAATTTACGATATACCTAAATAATCAAATGCATATCAACTCGATAACATTAATTGAAAATGTTCAAGGTTTAATGTTAGAAGTTTGATGTACAATTTAGGAATTGATTTTAGAACAGATTACTGAAATCATCCCTATGGTTTGGTCAAAATTGTGTGTTTGGTCCCTAACATTTGTTTTGCATTCGGACCGTCCCTAGGTTTTGATTTTGTTGTGTTTTTCATCCCTCGCAGACATAAAAAGACTTTATTACCCTTGACCATTTCTTTTTTTCTATGTTATTTGATATTTGTTTAATATTAATCTAATAAAGAAAATATTATTAAAAACAAAATATGGGTCCTTCCATAATCTCTTTCCTAAAATCTGCTAAACACCCTCATACCAGTACTCTCTTCTCTCTCTCTCTCTCTCTCTCTCTCTCACTCTCTCTCTCTCTCTCTCTCTCACCGGAGACCTGTAAACTTTGGTGTTTCTCTCTTCCAAATCCTTTCTTCTTCCCTAGACATCTCTCAGCTCCGGTGAACACAACCCAACGAAAACCATAACTCCCATATAACCAAATTCCGAAATCCTAAAATTAAACATAAACTCAAGCTGAAGGATAAAGAACATACCCTCTCCGATTCACATACCCAGAAAAAATAGAAACCCTAAATCTAATTTCATCTCCCATAAACACAAAAAAAAATCACCCGAAAAATAAAAATCAATCTAAATGTAATTTTTTTTTGTAAAACCAGTCAACATTGTTCTTTAATCTTGAACTTGTTTAACGCCAACCATTGTCCCAGATCTGCAGTTAATTCTAACAACAAAGATGAAGCCTTAAACATCAACAACTGTCCAAGAATCGAAGAAACCCATGAAGCATTTACTCCATCGTCTTCATTTAATCCAGAATCGGGAGAACCCCAAAATCAAAATCGAAGCGTCTGACTTCATCATCGTTGTTTCCACCTAAATCAAAACACCCAAAACCGAGAAACACAAAATCAACATAATTATTATGGTGTGTATATATGTGTGTGTGTGAGAGAGAGAGTAAAGGCGTACCAGTTATGTTTGTTCTACTCTTTGATTTCGAGGTATGTTCTTTTATGTTGAAAAATCGATTCAATTTCGAGAATTTCGTGATGAATTAATGGAGTTCTTTTGATTTTCGGATCTCTGAATCCCTAAATACTGTGAGCAGTCATTTTCTGAATTTGTTTCAATTTAAGATGTTCTTGTGTGTTGAAAAATCGATTCAATTTAAGATGTTCCTTTATGAATCGTTTCATCACAAAATACATACAAACTCTAGGCATACCAGGTCTTTTTCTTCCTTCCATTACTGATTAGATAACCCCATGTCCATTTAAGAAAAGCCAATCGCCTTCCTTTTTTATGAGTCGTCGGTCCAAAGCTGGAAGTGGCGTCCGGTGAAAAGAGAGAGAGAGAGAGAGAGAGAGAGAGAGAGAGAGAGAGAGAGAGAGAGAGAGAGAGAGAGAGAGTACTTGTATGAGGGTGTTTAGCGGATTTTAGGGGAAGAGATTATGGAAGGACCTACTTTTTTATTTTTAATATTCTTTATTAGTTTAATATTAAAAAAATATCAAATAAAATAGAAAAAAGAAATGGCCAAGGGTAATAAAGTATTTTCATGTCTGCGAGGGATAAAAAAATACAACAAAATCATAACTTAGGGACAGTCCGAGTGCAAAACAAATGTTAGGGACCAAACACGCAATTTTGACCAAACCACAGGGACGATTTCAGTAATTTGTTCTTGATTTTAGATTTACTAGAATTCAAAGTTCATTGCCTGTTTTGGATGATTACTCAAATTACATTGCTAATCTCAGTGAGGGTCACTAATATGGTTGATGGTCTGATCTTGGTCGATGTGATGTGTTCTTCTCAAATCAATGTGGATAGTCCGCAAACCATGTGCTGAGTAACACCTAAGTGAAGCATTTTAACACATTTAGAAC